AACGTTAGTTTTCTCCGTCAGGTGACACATGTCACAATCTGATCATTTTAAAATTTTATTTAAAATTTTAAAAAATAAAATTATATATATTTTTAAAAAAGAAAACATAAATTTTGAATAACCTCAAAACTTTGAAAACCTTCATTTCAACCCATTAACCTTTAACCCCGTCACTAAACCACCCTTCTCCGACCGGTGGTGGTGTACACCGCTGCTCCCACCGAACTCAGCAACAACTGACGACCTCAACCCAGCCCTCAGATCACCCGAAATCAGTCACCGTCGAGCTTAATCGCAAGGAAACCATTCGATTGCCCACCTCCAATCTCGGCCACCGCTCATCGAGAGTCATTACCGCCTAGCCTAGTGGAAGCGCCGTCCCGGACCGGTCATAGGCCAGTCATCCACTTGCCTCCAATTGTCGTCGTTCGTGGTGGAGTGGCGTTTGAAAGTCCGACGAAAAGCCCCCATCACCTGTTCGATTTTTGCGATTTCCGGCCGAAACCGCTACCTTTTCGCCTCACTGTAACTGAAGCTGAGCTCGTCGATCCTGTATGACCAAACCCCAACCAGTTTGGTAAGCCACCGTCATCAAGCGGACGAGCTTGGAAGAGGGGTAACCGAATAGTTTAAGGGTTAGGGGTTGAAATGAAGGTTTTCAAAGTTTTGGGGTTATTTCAAAATTTTTGTGTTTTCTTTTTTTTTAAAATATATAATTTTATTTTTTAAAATTTTAAATAATTTTTTTTTTAAAATTATCAGATTGTGAAACGTGTCACTTAACGGAGAAAACTGACAGTCCGTCACGACGTGACCTATTTTGAGTAACGGAATGAAACGTTAGGCACTAAACTGAAACGAAAAAAATGTTAGGTACTAAACTGGAAAAATAGCATACGTTGGACACCTCTTGTATATTTAAACCTTTTTAATAACTAAAGGTTTGATCGGTCGGTCGATCTCGAGTTAAAAATAGAATACAACTTTCCTTCAGAGACAATTTATTGAACCCTCCTTTAAAGGTGCATGTTCTGTAATAATTTTTTTTTAAAAATACAAAACCATACTTGTTTGGTGTAAAATTAAAAAAAAATTTATTTTATTTAAAATTAATATTTTATAGATATCAGCGGAAAGGATCATATCCAAGGGAATGAAAATAATATTATTTTTTTAATCAAACGAGTAAATGTAAATGAAGAATTTTAAGATTGAATGTTAAAAAAAAAAAAAGAATGAAAGAAAAAGATCGTGAGAAAAATATATGGAATTTAATTTTTTTGACAACAAATATAATAAAAAATATTTATAAACAAGAAACGGTAGCTATTGTAATATTTGATCGTTTAAAATGATAATAAAATAATCTCAAATATTTTTATTATAAATATTCATACCCTTAAATAATAAAATCCTTTGTTTTCTTGTTTAAAATTTTAGGGGGAAACTACAACAATGGTCACTAATATTTGAGTATGCTTTCTTTTTTCTACTGAATTTTTAAAAGTAACAAATTGGTCACTAATGTTATTGAGTTGTAACACAATGATCATTCCACTATTATTTCCGTTAAATTGATGATGTGACAATATTAATAAAAATGTTAATATTCAGTTTTACCCTTAAAATACTATTGAAACATCAAATAAATCATTGAACAATGATTTTATATCAAATTTTCCCTAAAACCTTTTAATTTGAAAATAGAATAGTTATATCCACCCTTATTGGACAAAAACAACATATAGCTAACACCAAGAATTATGAGCAAAAGTGAAGCAAGTTTATGATTGTTTCTTCACCAACAATTGAGTTCGCCATAATTATGACAGTTATACCTAGAATTGAAGTGGATATTACATACAAAACTACTCCAAATGCGGCTAAGCACAAACAATGATACAAAAAAAATGATCAAAACAATGTCAAGAGTTTAAACATTCAATAGTATTTGGTTCCCTTATGTTTAACTATCTGCAACAAAATCTCTTAGCTTTGCTGAAATTAAAGAAATCCAAAAAGTAAATCCACTGTAATTTAACATATTAGAATCAATCGTGATATTTAAGCATGGTAAAATTATGGTTTCAAGAACTAAAGAAAAGGAAAAAGTTCCCAATTGTAAATAAAAACGTGTGTTTTTTAATTTGGGTATAAGTATATGCAAACTAGAGATCTAGGATTTAGTTAGATTCAAAGAATACTTTTCTACATTATGGTGGTAATTGTATTATTTTTCGGGTTGAGAAATGGTGATGAGATAAATGAGTTGTTTCTGTGTTAGCTAAAGCTTTTAAGGAAGATATCTGAAAATGAAATGAAGTTAGGTAACATAAAATTAGTAAAAAGGTGGAAACCATGGATAGATAGGTTGTTTCAATGTCAGCTGAAGCTTCTGATCACTTGCTCCCTGATTTGGATGGTTAAGTCTGCTTTAACACGGAATTCACGTTATCCTTCACCTTCTTTGAATGGTGGCACCACTACAACCATCAAAATACATAAAGAGAATGTTTGTATGTTTTCTGTTACTCTTTGATTCATTATTGTCTATTGAAGCATAACTCATGCATGGAGCAAACAAAGCTATTGCTACACAAACATTAGTAAAAAATTATAAATACCTCCCCTGATCGTGATTATTAGCAGAACAAATTCAACGATTCAAGTAAAAGCCAACCCACCATTTTCTGATCATTTGTCAATAGTATTAACGTTTAAAGTAACTTCGTTGATCTCATATCCTTTCTTGAAGTTTACAAATTGGCTAATCACTAATCGACAATCGTTTGAACATTTTCTTTTTCAAATTAGAAAATTTTAGGAGTAAATTTGATATAAAATTATTGTTTAAGGATCTATTTGATGTTTTAGCAGTAGTTTAAGGGTAAAACTAAATATTAATTTTTTTATTAACGTTGTCACATCATCAATTCAAGAGAGATAATTTTTTTGTTACAAATCGATAATATTAGTAACCAATATGTTACTTTTGAAACTTCAATAGGGAAAACGAAAATTACTCAAACATTAATGACCATTGATATAGTTTACCCAAATTTATAATTATTAATTATAAATAACGAGTGCCACGTAAGAAAGCAGGAATCGAGAGGCCATCAAACTCACCGAGTCACCGTGCGACAATCGCAAAGTCTTTTTTACTTGGGTAAACTACGTTAATGTTCACTTCTGTTTGGATTAGTGTTTGTTTTCACCACTGATGTTTCAAAAGTCATAAATCAATCACTAATAAATTATCGTTCATTACAAATTGGTCACTCACCGTTAACCACCATTAACAAGAGTGATGGACTACACTTCTGGACTGTTTAGAGCTTACTTGGACTGGATTGACCACCACATGGAGTGTCAAATGTCTGGAAATGAACATGAAGAAGATGAAGAAAAAGAGATTGGAAATGAAAGCAAAGTGAAATTAGAAGAACAAGAAGGGCTAATCCGATACTGTAGAAGCTAAAATGGAACATTAAGAAATGGGTGAAGCAATGAAATGCATGTTTTCTTGTGAAGCAAAAGAAGAACAAACAATTCCAGAAGTTGAAACTAGGGTTGAATCTATTTTGGTGAAGGATGAAAATACTGAACTTGAAAAAACAAATGTAGAATGCCAAAATCAAAACATGAAAATGTAGTGGAGGAGACCCAACAAGAATCAACATTAAAAGAGAAAATTTTAACTCAAGTTTATGATTTCACCATTGAAGACCTACTATAACAAGAAGTTGAAGCCGAAGAGAAAGAGGAAGAAAGGAAAACTCAAACTAAAGTTGAAGAATAAGAACTCTTTTTCAAGCTTATTCTTCTTCCTAAATCAAGTTTATTCGTTTCACACTTTCTTTATCCTTATTCTTCTTCTTCATTGCCAAAGCCTCCATTATCGAACTATGTTTCTCCATAGAAAACCTTGAAGAAATCTTGTATGTTTTTATTGATTTCTTGTTAATCATCTCAATGAACGCAACGACTTTCTTTGTTTTATTCTTCGGGTTCAATTTGATTGATGAGTTTAACAGTGGAAGAAGAAAGTGAAACAAACCAATGGTTCAACAATGGAGGTATCCAAGAAGGCTTGGGTGTGCAAGATGAATTTCATCAAATGGTTATCGGAGAAGAGGCAAGAAACACCAGTTCCCCTCAAGTATTTCTTCTCAGGAATCTTTATTTACATGCTCTCAAACACCATTACCACGAAACCAAACTACCCATGGAATAGGAGCTTGTGTTCTGTGTTCAGGACTTTCCAAATTCAAACCAAGCCTTATCTTCAATTCTCGAGCTTGAAATCTTTCGTCGACATATCTTCTTTTGTCGATGCAGAAGGTGAGAACGAGGAAGAAGATGAAGCACGAACCAATGGTAAAGCGAGTGAAGATTACTCACCTAAAATGGCTCAAGCTTTCAGCATGTCTTCCAGTATACTTCTATTATTGCTTTATTCATAGCGTTTGCGGTTCTGAGTCTTCCTTTCTTCATGAAGTCTTTAGGTCAAGGAGTATTACTTTCTTCTCCTGTTGCCTTTAAATGGTTACCGGAGAAGAGAAAGCAACCGGTGGTCAAATCAAAGGACGGTGGAGATGAACCCAAGGGAAGAATCAACGTTGACTCTAATCCTCTCCTATCTTTGAAGATATTTGACTCTCCATGTGGCGGTCAACCCAGTCCAAATAAGTTTTAAATTGTCCAACCGTGTATTCCATCACTCTTGCTATCGGCGGTTAACGATTGACCAATTTATAATAAACGATAACGTTAATGATCGATTTGTGATTTTTGAAACATTAATGATAAAAACAAACACTAATCCAAACATGAGTTACCATTGGCATAGTTTACCCTTTTTACTTTTCTTAATAATGTTAAATCTACTCCACCCCTTATTATTTTATTATTTACAATATTAATCATTATTTTATTAGGATTTGTCTCCATATATATAATACAGAGCCGAGTTGATTACTGAAAAAGGAAAACCTATGGTCTCTCTCTTGCGTTCATCAAGCTTTAAAAATCTCTTATTCCTTCCCCAGTCAACTATTCAATCTCCATTTGCTCATAAATATATAGCTTCTGGTTTTGGGTGTCTTTGGAAGAAGACTTTTACCAGATTCTCCATTGCAGCAAAAAGGGTAAAGCTCTGTGTTGATCAAATTACACGTAAAATAGATTTGTCGACTCGCTGGTATGTTTTTATTTTCTGGGCTGGATTTTGTTTCCGAGTTTGGATTCTGGGATTTATACACTCCTTCGTTTTGTGGGTTCTTTTAATGGGGTTTTGTAGTGTTTTAGGTTAAGTATCTTTGATCATAGTTTCATAACTTCTGAGAGACTTCAAGTCTTGAAACGGTTCTATGTTTAGTTTCTCTCTCCTTTCTTCTAGAATTTGGAAATTCCAAGCTCCGTTTTTGGGGATTTGAAAACTGCGTGTTTCTGAAGTTTTCTTTGAAATCCTCACCCGCAGGAGCCAAGATTGCAACTCAAAGGCACAAGGTATAATTAATCATGAAAAATCATAAAAAATAGGTGACAAAATATAATTAATTATAAAATAAAGATAAGATCAAAACAAATTAAAATTAAAAACTTTAATTTAGTATGTACTCGTATGATTTTTTAATAAAAAAATAGGGTTGGTAGGGGTGGTGGCAGTGGCCTCCCTGGGACCAAGGGTGGCTCCGTCATTGCTCACCCGGTTCAATAAGTAGCATGTAACATGTAGTAAATAGTAATAATTATGCATCAAACTAGGGCAGCTGAGATGAGATTTTGAGATTTAAATTACGGTCACTGTTGTATTTATCGTGATTGTGAATATCAAGAGTCATATAATAAGGGTTTCGAATGGTATTGTTATTTATAACAGCCATTATTTCATAGTAGATCACTATTTAAATTTATGAATCTTTATGTAAATTAATTGTTTGAAATATTATATTTTTGGTGAATCTAGATAGTTTGAGGGGTGCTGAGATATTTTTTTGGGTATTTTTTACTGATAATTTAATCTTGTAATTATGTACTCTTTAAATTTTTAATATAAATTCTAAAGTTGGTATTTTCTTACGTATAAACCTAAGTACATCTCTGGTGATTAAGAGTTTCATGATTTTAATTTGGTATTTCTTTTCTACAGATTTGGGCAGCAGGTGGCCACTGAACGCTACTTTGAAGATGCTAATGACCCTTTAAATGGATTAGAAAAAAATCCCATGGAGAATTGGGAGAATCGAACAAATTCGGTCACCGATTCGGACGACGATACCCCCTCCCGTTTCGACTGCAACATCTGCCTGGACTCGGTGCAGGATCCGGTGGTTACTCTATGCGGTCACCTGTATTGTTGGCCCTGCATTTACAAATGGCTTCATTTGCAGACCATCTCCACCGAAAACCAAAACCCGAGGCAGCAGCAATGTCCTGTTTGCAAAGCTGAAGTCTCACACACTACACTGATTCCGCTTTATGGAAGGGGCCTAACAACCAACGCATCAACAGGCAACACTCCGAAGAGACCTCTCGGTCCGACTTGTGGCGTCGGCAGGATAAGGTCACCTAATACGACCGGCGGTCTACGGTTTCCGCAGTCATTACATCACCATGATTATTCATATGAACCACAACTCTACTACACTCAACCGGGCGGTTACCACAATTCATCGATGCTTAGTCCCAGTGGCACAATGATAAGCGTACCGGATCCTGTGACTGGAATGTTGGGTGAGATGGTATACACAAGGGTATTCGGGAACTCGAACTCGGATTTATACACACATCCGAATTCATACAACCTGGCGGGGAGCACCAGTCGTAGGATCAGAAGGCAATTAATGCAAGCCGATAAGTCGCTAAGCAGAATCAGTTTTTTCCTATGCTGCTGCATATTTTTCTGTCTTCTTTTGTTCTGATTTTTAGTAGTTCTCTGCTTGAAAAATTATACGTGTATGATGTATAGGAGACCAAAAGTATACAAAATACATCCGGATGTTGTAATAATACAGTATGAGATGTTGCAATAATACAGTATGAGATGTTGCCATCTCCTGTGCTGCTTATAGCATTTATGTAATTGTAACTTGTAAGTTATGTTCTAAGCTTAAAGATGAATCATCTTGAGACCACAATATACAAATCCTTGTTGTTGTTGTCCCCCAGAAGAACTATTGACAGTATACCTAATGAAAGGATTCGGGCTTGAAAATAATGGTTAATCTTATGTTAGTTGTCACTTTATTTTCTTACTTCAGATGTTAATCTGGCCTGGGCAGGAGGGGCACCTGCTCAAGGCCCAGGTTTTCAATATATGTTCTAAGATAACTCTCAATCTCTTAACATTGAACGTTCACACACCTGACATTCGGGTGCTCGAACCCGGGTCTCAAGGAATGATAGCGTTCCTTTACCACAGAGATCACTCGGTTCGTGTCCAAAGCCCATAATTTTTATTATATATTATACTTGTGAAAAAATAATTTTATATTAGTTATATGGCCCATTTATTTTTAATACTTGTTATTAAGGTTTTAATTTTCTTCAATATTTATTATTATCAACTCAATTTTTTTAACATTTATTAGTAGGGACCAATTCTTATAATTAGTTTTTTTTCCTAATATTTGTATAAGTGTCCAATTTTGTGTTAATATTTTTTTAACATTTGTTATTAAAGGCCCAATTATTTTCAATAATTATTATTAGGAGCCCACTTTTTCAATACTTGTTATTAGGGACATACTTTTAAAATTTAATTTATTTTCTAATATTTATTTGTTATTATGAGTCTAATTTTTCAGTAATTTTTATTAGAGGTCATAATAAAATTTAATTTATTTTCTAATATATATTTGTTATAATTTATAGAGTTGCCCTTAAATTTTTTTTTCAACACTTGCTATTAGGAACAATTACTTAAATAATGGTCCGTAACCACAACGATGATCATTATGCAATGATAACATCATCCGAAACCACGATATTCACAATCATTTTGTCCACACTAGCCTATGTTATTAAAAATTTACAATCATGATACTTGTAGTGACCACAATATCATGCGGTATCTCACAATAGCGATAAAATCAACGCGACCAAAGACACAAATATAAATTGTAACTTAAATCCCTGATTAGGAGCCTAATTTTTTTTATTCGCCGCAGAGTCACCAAAATCTCAGAAATAAACCTGGTTAAAATATTAATGATTTTGTTTTACAATAGTACCATTTTACTTATAACAATGATCTTAAAAAATACTATGATGCGATCGTTACATGCTTTGTGATAGTAAATTAATATTGCGGTCAGTATAGGCTGCATTTATTAGAACCTGCCAAGAAAGAGAAGTCCATTGGTCGTTTCTGGTTTTATATATTTTATTTCAACTTGTGAAATGAGATTTTTGTTTTCTGCAGGTCCCATTACATGCTTGTCTACCATACTGACATAACCTTCTGAGCTTACTTTTTGTCCCATGCTCTCGATCTTATCGTTTTTGGTGGGTAAAATTTGTAGGACTAGCTGACGTTAATAAAGAAATACGTTACATCTGGTCCGAATTGTCGTGGTGCTCATCAACATTTGATGAAGTTGCATAATAACCTTTTCCCATGCATGAGGGGTCGTGCAAAGTTTCTTCTTCGAGGTGAAAAGGACTTGCATTTTTAGATATTCAAACACCAGAAAACGTGGAATGGGAGTATAAAATTAACGACAGAGAGGCAACACATTATCCTTAGTGACCAGATATTTTTGTCTTAAAACAGAGATTGCAAGGTCGAATCTTAAACGCAATAAAACAGCAAGAGGCTGAGCATTCAATCCAGGGCTAAGCTTGTCATCACCCACACTATAATGACCTCCTAATTCATGGACCTTATTTCTTAGGCGGAAATCTTACGCTCGGAGCTCGGAATACATTCATTTATATAATCATACAAAACTAAATATCAAATTGCCATTGAATCGATAGGGTATTTTTGTACCAGAAATGTATTTTTTATTAGGCTAAACTATACAGATGATCAATGATGCATGAGTGATTTTTGTTTTTTCCGTTAAACTATTAAAGTTATAAATTGATCACTAATGTTATCGACTTGTAACAAACTCGTCACTTGCCGCAAACAACTGTTAATATAAGTAGGGGAAAACTGAGTTGGATTGTTAAATACTTACATGCACTATTGACCGTTTATTTGGACTGTTGACCGTTAACCCCCTACTATCACCGTCTTATTCTCCTCTTACTATTATTTTCTCCTCTCTCACTCCGCCGCATCTTCTACCCCTCTGATTTCCGCTTCCTTCCCCTAATCATGTTGTTGCGTCTAATAAGGTTTCATGTCTTTCTACTATCTCACTTCTATCAATGCTGCTATCACCTTTAGTATATCATCCAAAAGCTTTCCTCCATAGACCGTCAGAAAAGAAAATCCAAGTCCTCCCTATCCTGTTATCGCCTTTGTTCATCATCAAAAATAAATATTATACAAAAACTCAGAAACACTGAAACAAAGATTCTCAAAATACCAAGCACACGTTCATGATTGCCACGTCTTTGTTTCTCACTCCACTCATTTATAAAGTTAATCCTCTGCTTTAGAACTCTCTTGTTCTCTCTCGATGGGCGTCAATTTCTCTGTTTGTTCATCATCGATTGTTTATCATTTGATTCTTCATCTTCATCACGTAGTTTGGGGATTTTCCGGAGGACTGTGTGGCTACGATTATTGAGCCTTTGGATCTTCCGAAGATATGTAAACTGGCGAAGTGGAACAGAGCATTCAAAGCTGCTTCTTGGGCTGATTTTGTTTGGGAATCGAAACTTCCACCCAAGTATCAAGTTATTGTTGATAAAATTCTTCCATTCGTGCCTGAAAATATGGGTAAACGAGATATGTGTTCAAGGCTATGTATGGCTAATAATTTTGATGGTGGCACCAATGCATATTTTTTTTGTTCTATTTTTTGTTTGGACGCCAAGAAAATCTTGGATTTTAATTTCTAAGTCTCCAATTTTCTTATGGATTGATTCTTTCCATGAAGTCTTTAATAAATTTATTCAGAGTTTTGATTTTTTTTTCTAAAAAATGGTTCAAAATAACATAGAAAATCTTAGTAATTGTGTTCTTAATTTACCTCGAGTTCTTTTGTTCTTTTGTAGAGAGTATGACAATATAAGAGTACAAGTGGTGTATGTATGGCAATATCTTCAAAGGGATGACATATAACGAGGATTGATGATCGAAGATACTGAAATTGTATTCCAACTGATGAATCTAGGTGACGATCAGAAGCTTATCCCTATTGTTTTGCATGTATTTCTCATATTGGATCGATGAGAATGGTAGAATTTCTAGTACCTTATCATGGATTTTCATATTAACCTATCAAAATCAAGTGTTCTCAGGGTATAACCAGGGATGGACCGAGGGAGAAAAGTGGGAGCGACCGTGAAATTTTAAAATTACTATTATTTTGCCTGGTACAGGTAACTATGTTAAGTTAATTACGTATCAAAAAAAATCATAGGAAAAAAATTGTGCTACTCTATTTGATGGATCAGGAACAATCGAAAAAAGGCAGACTGGTATGGTATCTCTTTGAATCCTGAATATGGTGATACCCCGAGTGTATTAACCTACATATGTTTCTTTTCCATCAATCGGCACTAGTTATTGTCATTTGGATTCCTTGACTTTCTTTGTCCCATGAGAAATGCGAAACGAATGATATACTATATTATTATAAGAAAATATATCTTTATAAATATAAATGCAATAGTTTTTTTTAATGTATTTTCTATTGAAATTCTATTTTCACCCCGAAATTTTAAAAGCCTACGTTTGTCCTGGGCATAACATTCCCACTTGATCCGAAGTGTATTATTTTTCTTTGTTTGATTTTACTGTTAAATTTTGAGAGGTGAGAAAATAGAAACTAAGACGAGTAAAGGAAGGTAGAGGAGAATAAGGAATACGGTGGTGGTCGTGGGGTGACCGTTCAACGGTCCAAATAAACATCAATAGTCCAAGTAAGCATTTAACAGTCCAACTCAATTTTTCGTTACTCGTGTTAACGTTTGTTAATGGCGAGTGGCCATTTTGTTACAAGTGGATAATATTAATGACCATTTTATAACTTTTGAAAGTTCAGTGGGGAAAACAAAAATTTACTCAAATATTATGACCATCTGTGTAGTTTACCCTTTTCAATATTTGGAGTTATTATAAAATATAAAGTTTAAAAGATTTTTTTTAGTTTATTAACTATACACAAATATCACGTAACTGTTTAAATTTCGATCTTTTAAGAAAATTTTGTTAACTTGATAGATTTGATAAAATACACGCTCCATCTAAAATCCAACATGACCTATGTTTAGGGTGCTTTTACTTAATAAAATAGAAATTTAATCGAAAAATAATAATATAGAGAGATATCATTATAATTATCCCTAAATATATAATAATATATAAATATATTATTTTTTAGGTCAGATTCAATATTTTTAATCCCAAATTGAATCTAACCCGACCCAAAACTCATAATTTGAAAAACTCAACCCAATCCAAACCTTTTTTTTAAAGAAAAATCTAACATAATAAAATCAGATCGAGTCAAAATATGTGAAGTCAAAATATTGAATCCAATCAAATATCTTAATTTGTTTGTTTAGCATGGTGTTTGGTTGAAGAAATATAAGTTTACTTGGATGCACATTTTATCAAATTATCCTTGTGATATATGTTATGTTTAACAAATTAAATTTTAATATTAAATTATAAATATTTGAATGAGAATTTATAAAAATATTTTACACTATCTAAGTTTAAAGGAAAAAAATACATTGAACATATAATTAATAAAATTAGTGTATCAAACTTATAGTTTTAAATAATTTTTATAAGTATCATATTTATTTATATAAAATATAATATAATATGAAAAATAATATTATGATCTTGAATGGACAAATATATTATTTTTCAATATGTACTTGAATGGACAAATATATTATTGTTCAATGTGTAAGGTCTATTTTTTAATAAATTAAAGTTGAATATTATTATTATTTTTATAATAATAACGTTTTCACCTCTTAAAATTATAAAATAATTAATTTAATAAATATTAAAAATATAAAATAATTTTAACTACTAAAGTTTATTAATATTTTACTAAATTAAATTCTTTTATATTATTATTAAATTTATATTTTTGTGAAAAGCACGGTTGAGGAGGATCTGAATGAAAAAAATTCATTATTCTAGGTGATTTGTTTCCAAAGCGATGAAAATTATTCT